CTGATGATAAATTCTACTACATAAAATGAGCTTATACTCAAGGTAAACTGTTAGATGAAAGAAATGAGTAGAAAATATTTGAAACCCACATAGATAACAAATTAATCAGACATATACATGTTTGAAACTATTATAAATGAATGATAAAACAAACAACCCAATAGGAAAATGAGGGGAAATGATATGCAAAGCACTTTACAAAGGATACTCAAAATCTATAGTAAGAGGGAAAAAATAAATTTAGAAAAAGTACAATTCCATATTCACAAGTCTGAAAAAAACAAAAAAAAATCCTCTACAATAACATGTGCTGGTGATAACACAGAGAGAGGCTTCTTAAAAATTTCCCCCTCATGACTCCTTTTTGCCTGAAAAATTTTTGAGTGATGCCATCCCAATATAGAGATATACAAGTATGTAAATCAAATATTTACTGACAGTAGATCATAAATACATTTAAAAATAAAATGTCAAAATTTATTCCACAGTTTAAGAAGCTATGATACAGAGCAACAGAACTTACACTATTAATGACAATCTACATGAAACCAAAAATATATACATAGTCAAACCAGCAATTATACTCTTGGGTTTACACTATACTTAAATGTATGTAGATGAGCAGTATGAGAAATAAACAAGGAAGCTTACAGAAACTGTTTCTAATTGCACAACCTCCAGAATCTGGAAATCAAATGTTCATCACAGACTAGGGCAGTCCTAAAATGGAGTGCTATACAGCAATGAAAATAAACAAATCACAACCAATCACTATATAAATCTTTAAACGCAATGCTGAAAGATGACACAACCCCCACCCCCAAAGAATGTTCAATAGGGCTAGAGAGAGTACAGCAGGTCAGGTGCTTGCCTTGGATGCAGCTAACCTGGGTTTAATCATTGGCATATGATGCCTTGAGAACCACCAGGAGTGATCCCTGAGCACAGAGTTAGAAGTAAGCCTGGAGTACTACCAGGTGTGCCCTCCCCACCCCCAAAAAGCATAAAAAATAAATTATCGATTTTCAGAAACGCATACAAATGTGGTAAAAACATAAAGAAAAGACATCACCATGAAAGTCAAGACAATGGTTATTTTAAAGAAGGAAGATATTTAAAATTGTAAGAGGACATGGGGGCTTTAATATTGCCATTAATAGTCTTAATCTGAGTTCCATCAGTATTTCTGTAATACAGAGGGTATGCTTTAATACACTTTTGAGTATGTGTTCTACAATTTTAAAATTCTGCACTGTATGTTCACTTGCAACTTGTATGTGGCAGTACTGTTCACAAAAGTCAGAATCTGGAAACAACTCAAGTGCACACAGACGACTGGTTAAAGAAACTATGGTACATCTGCACAATGGAATACTATAGAGCTGTTAAAAATGAAGTTATGAAATTTGCTTATAAATAGACATAGAGAGTATCATGCTGAGTGAAATAAGCAGAAGAAAAAGGACAAAGAATGACTGCACTCATTTGTGAGATATAACAAAGCATTGTTTGAGAGTTAACACCCAAGGACAGTAGAAACAAGGGCCAGGATGAATGGTCTACTGTTGGAAGGTTGCACCAAGGGCTGGGGAAGATGGCATTTGGAATAGAGAAGGGACTATTATGACAACGATGGTTGGAAGGGATGGCTCTGGATGAGAGGTGTGTACTGAAAGTGGACAAAGGATCAAACATGGTTTCTCTGTATCTGTATTGCAAGACATAATTCCCAAAAGGGAAGGGTGGAGAGGAGAGAGAGAGAGAAAGAGAAAGAGAGAGAGAGAGAGAGAGAGAGAGAGAGGTGGACAGACAGACATACAAAGAAGAAAAGTGTCTGCCATAGAGGCAGGCTGAATGGGGATAAAAGGGATATTCACACTGTCACTGTCCTCCTGTTGTTCATCGATTTGCTCGAACGGGACCAGTAACATCTCCATTTTGAGACTTGTTGTTACTGTGTTTGGCATATTGAATACATCACGGGTAGCTTGCCAGGCTTTGCTGAGTGGGTGAGATACTCTTGGTAGCTTGCCGGGCTCTCCGAGACGGGCAGAGGAATCAAACCCAGCTCGGCCAGGCTGGCTGTGCGCAAGGCAAATGCCCTACCACTGTGCTATCACTCCAGCCCAAAGGCGATATTGGTGATGGGAAATGTACACTGGTGGAGGGATGGGTGTTGGAACATTGTATGACTGAAACCAGATTACAAAAACTGCTTTGTAAATGTATCTCATAGTGATTCAATTAAATAATAAATTTAAGATGTCAAAAAGGGAGTCAGGAAATCTTTAATAGAGGGGATGTTTTTGTTTGCCACTCAATGCCTCTTTTGCAGACCACAACACCCAAAAGGAGAGAGAGAACACAGGGGATTGCCCTGCCACAGAGACAGGGGGTATGGGGGGATGGGGGTGGGAGGGATATTATCCATGGTGGTGGAAAATGGGCACTGGTGGAGGGATGGGTATCTGATCATTGTATAATTGAAACCAAAGCACAAAAAATTGTAAATCTACAACTTTTAAAAAAAATAAAATAAAGGGAAAAAAAAGAATAACTTTGTAAAACACAATGCATTAATAAAAAGTAGTGAGGGCAAAAAAAAAATAGAGGGGATGTTTCCTTGTTAAGTGCTGCATATCCTGGTACCAGAAATTGCAAGGCTACTTAGGGAAGGAAAGGTCCTCATAACACGCCAGTTCATTACAGACTGATTACTTCACTCAGCTTTGTCTCCTTGGTTAATTCTAATGGTTTTCCTCACAGATAGTAAAGCAACAATTCAAATAAAAGGCAAGTATCATTTGCAAATTCATTCAACTGTATTTACTATGCATCTACTTATTGCTAAACAGTGTGCTGGAGATTCACGGGCAGTCACTACTGACTCACACGAGAGAGAAACATGGCCTTTTCTGGCCTCTTCCCTCTCTGTCCCTTCCAATCCAACAACCAAGCCAGAGAAGCCTAAAAGAAAGACGCAGCACACATTAAGTTTTGGTCAAAACCATTTCTTAGAGGTCCTCTTCCCCTACGCAGGGCCCCTGGCTTGGATTGATAGGGCTTAAAATCTTGGTGGCATATGGTCCCAAAACACCAGGAATGAGCACAGCCAGGTATGGCCAAGAAAAAATTAAAAAAATAAATTGGGGGGGGGCAAAAACCCTGCATGTCCCAAGTTTTCCAGGAGGCAAATAATTTGCATAGTCAAGTTCTCTAGGTTAAGGTACCAGGGATGCTCTAGGAACCATTTTAAGGGGAATCAACACTCCCAAGAACCACTTTCCTCAGTATCTGTAACTTTGCAGAAAGGGTGTGGTGGTTGTGATGATGATGATGGGGTGTGTGTGTGTGTGTTTGTGTGTGTGTGTGTGTGTGGCCGGGATCCTAGAGTGCAGGACTTCACTGGATCCACAACTTTTCAGAAATGGTACAGTGGGTTTTGTGTATGTGTACGTGTATTTGTTCAGGGATCCAAGAGCCCGGGACTATTACTGGATTTGCATCTTTCCAGAAATGGTGTGTGTGTGTGTGTGTGTGTGTGTGTGTGTGTGTGTGTGTGTGTAAGGGGACGAAATTCCAGAGTGCAAGACTATCACTGGATCCACAACTCAGCAGGTATGATGAAGTCAACTGTGCGTGAATATATGTGTGTCTAGAACCTGAGAGTGCAGGACTGTCACTGGATCCACAACTCTGTACAAATGTTGAAGTCAGGTGTGTGTGTGTGTGTGTGTGTGTGTGTGTGTGTGTGTGCACGCATGCGCATGTGTTCCCAGAATCTGATGCAGGACAGAGAAAGAGACAAGACAGGAGAGTGTGTCTCCCCACTCTAAAGGTTAGGCCGGTCACTGTCACTGCATCCACAACTTTACAGAAATGGTCACTATACCCACAGGAATGGTAGAACAGTGCAGTGGAGTGTGTCTCCTCTGAGAGGGCAGATCTGTCACTGTATTCACAACTTTGCAGGAATAATTCAGTGCATTGTGAATGAGTCTCTTTGTGTGTGTGTGTGTGCCCATCTGTGTGGCTGATGTGGTAAACTGTGTGTGAGCAAGTCTTGCCCGATGTGTATGTCTGTGCCTCTGTGAATGGTGTGGCCAACTATGAGCAAGTATCCCCATGTATGTGTGTGTGTGTGTGTGTGTGTATGGTGTGGTAAATTGTGTGGGTCTCCTCAGCTGTGTGTGTCTCCCCATAATCCCAGAGGGCAGGCCTGTCGCTATATCCACAACTTTGCAGGAATGGTGCAGTGGATTATGTGAGCAAAGTCTTTGTAGGTATGTGTGTGAATGGTGCCGTAAATTGTGAGTGAATCTCCCTGAGTATATGTGTGTGTGTTTAGCAGTATGATAAACTGTGCGAACAAATCTCCCAGGCTCTGTGTATGTGTGTGCATGTGTGTATGTCCCTGTGCTGTGTGTGTGTGTGTGTGTGTGTGTGTGTGTGTGTGTGTGTGTGTCCCTGCGATCCTAGAGGACAGGCCTGTCATTACATCCACAAGTTTGCAGAAAAGGTGCAGTGGACTGTGTGAGCAAAGTCTCTGCAGGTGTGTGTATGCGAATGGTGCAGTCAATTGTGAGCGAATCTCCCTGTGTGTGTGTGTGTGTGTGTGTGTGTGTGTGTGTGTGTGTGTTTAACAGTAAGACAAATTATGTGACCAAATCTCCCAGGGTGTGTATGTGTGTGCACATGTCCCCACAATCCTAGAGGGCAGGCCCATCGCCACACTCACAACTTAGTAGGCAGGCACGGTGCAATGGGCTGTGCTTGGGGGAGTCTCCCTGGGATCCCAAGGTGCAAACACAGTCAACCGCTTGGGGCACACTGGCGGGGCTCAGGTCGCACTGAGGAGCTTTGCCGTGTGTGTGTGTGTGTGTGTGTGTGTGTGTGTGTGTGTGTGGTGGTGGGTAGGCAGGGTGGCCTGGTGGTGTCTCTTGCGGCCTCCGCCGTTGGGCCTAGCTTCCCAACGAGGTCCTGCACTGTCCTCTACTTACTCGCAGCTCTTCCAGGGCCTCATTGAGGGTGGCGAGCCGGTGGCCCTGGTGCGCCCCGACCACGGGGCACAGGATGCAGATGAGCTGCTGGTCCTGCCGGCAGTAGGCGCTCAGGTCGAGCTCGTGCTCGGAGCACTTCCTCCGGGCCACTCTCTCGGCCTCCACGTCGATTTCCGGGTCCAAGGGGCTCTCCTTCCGGCCTTCCGTGTCCCCGTTGGCCACCGCTTGCCCTTGGCCCCGCCGCCCTCCCTCCTCGTCCTCCTCCTCCTCAGCCTCGTCCTCCTCCTCCTCGTCCTCCTCGCCGTCGTGGCTGCCTCCGCCGCCGTCGTCATCGCCGGCCTCACTCTCTTCCTCCTCATCCTCCTCCAAGTCCGGCTCCTCCCGGGGCTGGGCCCGGCGGGCTCCCGGGGCGCGGTAGTCGGCCAGCGGGTGCGCGGGGAAGCGGCGCCCGTGCGCCTCGGCGTCGCGGCCGCAGTAGCAGAAGCCGCACGCCCCGCACACCCGCTCGGCGCCCGGCGCCTCGTCGGGCTCGCACTCGTCACACGTGCCGTCGTGCGGCGGCAGCTCCTCGACGGCCGCGGCCATGTGGGGGCCGCCTGCGCCCGCCCGAGCGCTCCTCCTCCCTCCGCGGCGTCCCGTCGAGTGTCGCGCCCGCCCCTCCGGGGAGCCCGCGACGCCACCCCCGCTGCCCACCCTGCGCCCGGCGGCCGCGCCCCCCTCCAACGCCGCTGCCCGCTCGCTTTGCTCGGCCGCTCCGCTCGCTGCGCTTCCTCCCGCAGTTCCGGCACTTCCGGTGCGGCGCCCCCGCGACCCCTTCACCCTCCACCCTCTCGGCGTACCCCCCCCACACACACACAATGTACACACATCCCGCCGTCGGCCCCCGTGTGCCGCACCCTGTACCCGCACCCGGGTCTCCGGCTAGCCTGGCTCTTGCCCGCGCTGCCCCAGTTCCACCCATCCTTTCCCTGGCAGACCCCCTCCTTTCACTTCCCTGAGTCATTTAAAGCGACAATCGCCCCCTTTTCCGCCCTTCTTTGGCGTTTGCCAGCCGGCTCAGCATCACCCGCACCCCCACCCGAGGAGGAGAAGGAGGAAGAGGAGGAGGACGAAGAATGAAAGGAGGAGGAGGAGGAGGAGGAAGGAAGAGGAGGAGAAGGGAGGAGGAGGAGGAGGAGAAGGAAGGAGGAGGAGGAGGAGGAGGAGGAGGAGGACGAAGAAGAAGAATCATCTCAGGCTCTCTACCCACCACCTTTCCCTTCCCCCCCCCCCCCCAATCCTTCCCAGGAAGTGTCCACCTGACTTCAAAAGTTGTGAGCAGGTGTGCCTGGTGTGTGCTTCTTTCACCTGCTGGTGGAGGTGGGGGGGAGAGGGAGAACTAGGGGAAGGGCACGGGAGTGTGTCTGTGTGTGTCTGTCTGTGTCTGTGTCTGTCTGTCTGTGTGGAGGGGGGAGGGGTTTCCATCCTATCCCCGCTGCTGCGAGCTCAATCGGGGCCCCCAACGGAATTGTTTCTTATTTCCAGAGAGCTCCAGGAAGGGCCTTGTTTGAGCTCCTGGGCTCCAGGAATCTCAGAGTGTGCAAACACGCTTTAGATCCCCAGCCATACCATGCATTGTCTGTTTGCAGAGACTGTTTGCATTCCTGACTGCCAGGGCTCAGAACCTCCCGGGTGGCAACCGCTCTGCCTTTTTCTAAAGTTTGCCTTGGGGGAGGCTGGCATGCCAGGTGAAGTAAGGTGGGGAGAGGTAATATTTTGTCCAGTGAGAGTTCCTAGTGTGCAGTTATTCATTTTTTTCCCTTTATGTAAGGAGACTATCTAGAGTCAATTTGGGTTTTAAGAGAATGAAACCCCCCTCCCTGTTATTTATTACCAATACTAAAATGCCAATGGCCAAGATAGATCTTTTTGCTCCTCTTTAAAAGTTCTCTAGAATCTTAAAATTTGAGCATCTATAAGACCCAACAATTCCACTTATTGACATCTACCCCAAGGACCCAGAAACGGTTTCAAAAAGGTATTTGCACTTGCATTACTGTGTTCATTGTTGTCTTATGCACAATAACCAAGACCTGGAAACAATCCAAGAGCCCAAGAACAGATGAGTGGATAAAGAAATACATACACACACACAATGCACACACACACACACACACACACACACAATGGAACACTATCCAGCTTATAAGAAGAGATGAAATCCTGTAATTCACTGCAACATGGATGGATTGGAGGGTATCTTGCTGAGTGAAAGTGGTCAGAATTCTCATAAGCAGGATATATTGAAAGATTGTAGGAGAGCAACAAATGACCAATGCTAATAGAATTTGAGAATCAATTTATAGAACTGAGTTTACTAAAGAGGTACAGTACAGTGGGATGGGGAGGTGGAAAGGTAGAAGGAGATTTTGAGCCTCTGGTGGAGAGACACTACCACTGGTGGTGGAGTTCGCATACTGTATGTCTGAAAATCTGTTATTAATAGTATTGTAAATCACGATGCCTAAATAAATATTGTGAAGGGGGAAAAATTCGAAGGTTATATTTTGAATAACTAACATTTCTAATCCACTAAAAATAAATTAAAAAGAGAACCTCTTTTAAAAAAATTTTGGTAAAAGCACTGCTCAAAAGTTCTCCAGTTCTGGCGCTACAACTTTTTTGGTTTGTGATCACAGAGAAGTCTTTCTTTTTCTAGCTTTTTTAAATATATCAAGTTCAAATAATGGTTGTACCTATCTCCCAGGGCTGGTTTTTTGTTTTAATTTGTTTTGTTTTGTCTTTTTGCAGATGAACTTTGTAGATGCCTGTCCTGTGAAAGTATTCACTACATTTTCGATATCATCAGCACATAACACACTTTGTATATAACGACCTTAGAAAGAAATCTTACACATATTTTGTGCACATCTAGCATTTTTGCCTGATTGCTGTTAGTGCAAAGCAATCCCTCCACTCTACTCCATATCTGAATGTTTCTGTTCATAGAAACACTTTTGTTTTAAACTTGGTAGGGAAAAGGGACATTTTAGTCTGCTTAGGTAGAAGCTGAGGAATAGTCAAAAAGAAAATGATGGAGGGGGGTCTAAGGGTTGGAGGGAGAAGGTGTCTCTTTGCCATTGGCATTCCCTTGTAGCTAGTATTTTCAGTTGATCTTCACCAAAATGCCACAGAATGGAATAAGGCTAAAATTATTTAAAATAGTTTTTAGTATCTCCTATATAGTGTACATTTGATTTCTGTTCAGCTTTTGTTATAATTTTAGAAATATTTTTAAACCCGTAGACTACAGAATTTGCGGGGGGACCCCCCCCCCCCAGGTTTGTTTTGTTCTGCTTACACATCCCATACAATTCTATTTCTCACTTCTCTGGAAAGTATTTCTATGCTTGCATTAGAATCAAGAATTGATGCGCCATTCTAAAGCAACATTCAACAAATGTCACTCAAAAATAAACATTAGTATATTTAATGAATAGCTTTTCTTGCTTGGTTATGTCCACTCCCCAAGCTTAACAAAAATAGTTTAAGCTTTTACAAACCATTATCACATTTGGAATTTTTTTTTCACTGAAAACAGTTCTGAATGTCTTTAAAAAACACTATGTATTTAGGGAGAAAAATATTTTCGTTGTCGTTATTATTGTTATTGCCTATTATTAGATTATTGTTATTATAATTATGGTTTATTCTTAATTTTATCTGATACAAAGTTAAACATAAACTGTGCAGTCCAGTATATGATACTTCACAGCCCTTTCTTAAGTCTTGTCTGGTTACAGTCTTAAAGGAAGAATTTGATGGGACTATTAAAAAGTCCTGATGACAAGTCATGGAAGCTTTAATAAGACAGATCCTTTGTACTCCTCTGCCTAGAAGTCTAGTTTCTCAGAATTTGTAACGTTTGGGAGTATTCCAGAGATAGCACCCTTTTATCGCATTATCTATTATCACATAGAAAATTACCTTAAAACATAGCAGCTTAAAACAATAAGCAATTGATCTCAATGATTTCAGTGAGTCAGGAATATGGCTGTATCTTATCTGGATTATACTAAGAAGTTATTTGAGGGACAGAGTTGTAAACAGTTTCTCTTCACCTGAATACCTATGCTCCCCAATGCTCACAACATACAAAGTTGATACAGTTATACCTGTATCAACACTGTTGATAGCTGATAAAGTCATACTGTAAAAAGAGAAAAGACAGGAACCATAGAGGTCCATACCAATGCTGAAACCCAGTTAACATCCCTAGATATTGTTGTAGAAGCACTTCATTCTATATAATAAAATTTGTATTAGTTGTCTATTGCTATGTTCTAAAAACTTGGAATCATTTTGAGGCAGAATGATAGTACAGGGATAGGGTATTTTTCTTGCATACTGCTAATCCAGGTTTTATCCCAGCACCCAATGTAGTCCTCTGAGCACCATTAGGAGTGATCCCTAAGCCTGGAGTAATCACTGAGCCCTGACTTTGTTTTATTTTTCACCCCAAAACAAAAATAAAACAACAACAAAAACCAACCTCGAATCATCTTGAGGACTAACTATCACACTTGCCTTTAGCTTTGTTAACAACACCTGTAAGATCTCCAAGATGCTCAGCAGTTAGTATAGCAAGAGGACAAATTAAAACTGTTTTATAAGTATTTTGGGGAATTTTCAGAAATAAATTATATGTTTCTAAAAAAAAAGAAAATGTTGTCTGTTAATTATGTAGGTGATAGTTTCCAAGTTGTAGGTAATAGTTTTCAAGTTGTTAGACATTTGAGGTTTAAATAAGGAAATGTAGGCACAGAGAGATAAAGAAACTTGTTAAAGATTAGATAGCTAGAAAGTAACTAAGTTGGAATTCAAAGTCAGATATATCCTAACTCTATCTCTCCTTATTCACTTGTGGTGTGAATAGGTGATACCCCAAATTGCTTAACTTTTTCCTAATAACCTCATCTGTCTCTTCCTTCTAGCAGTAAAATCAATATCCCTTTCTCCTATTCCAAAGAACTGGGTTTATAAGACTTATAGCATCATACATTTAATTTCTGATGAAACTCTACAAACTTAAAAGAGAACCATGTGTATGGTGTCTTAAGTCCACTCCTTAAGGGAAAGTACCTGCACCCCTTGACTGATCTCCTTATGTAATTAGACTGTCACTTTAGTGAATGATTTAGTTCCCCTGCCCCAAGTCCCTGAGATCATCCAAACCTCATCTCATGCTGTTATCATATTAGCCAACATCTTACTCTATTAAAGTCAGTGCAATGAAATATGATCTCACCTAGCCAATCCCATTCCTGCCAAGATCTGTACAATGAAATCTTTATCACTGGGACTGATTCTTTCTGTTTCTTAGAAGCCTTTTGGAGATGGATTCCAAAATTATTCCTTGAACCAAGGCCCTCTGAACATTATTATTTCATCCAATTTTTATGAGTAAGTGGTGAACTGCTCATAATAAAATTCTCTAAACACTCCATTTCTTAAAATATATATGTAAAAATAAAAATATGTGTAAAGATAACTCCAGATAAACTTTGATTAAGATTTTACACTCTCGTGCTCGCTTCGGCAGCACA